TAGAGGGGAAGGCGCCAGTACAAGTAAATGCTCTCCTTTCTACAACAAGCAGGACTTCCTCCTCTAGGGTATAGATCTTTTTTGTCTCACCATAATAAAGTTGTGACCTGGTTAGCAACCCTGTATACAACAGCATTCCTGTCACGTAAATTATGGACTCATGATAAACAGCTGTTTATGGTTCCAGCAACATGGTATTAGGTGGATGTGCTATGTTATTTATATTCCACTTATGAGCTATTTAAATCAATTTAATAGGAAATTGCTTTACATAGGAAACTTCTGCATGAGTTTCTGCTGGAAACTAGCAACTACCTTTTAGCTTTGTTTAGGCAATCAAGGTCTTCTGATTCTTTCTCAAGGGATTTATTTAGGTTTCAGGCAGCCTACCATCCTCATCTAACTTCCTATTGTACATTCCAACAATATGTCCTTCCTTCATTGCTAATTTTAAGCTCTCTCACTTAGTTATATTACTTTAATACAAAATGGTTCTCTGAAACTTGTGGTTTACATATCTGTGAAGCTTTGGCAATTTGACTGAATTAGTACAAAATATTTTTAACGCAGATCTTCAGCTTGAAGATTAATTAAACAGCAAATTAACAAAAGTTAAAGGTGAGTAGCTCATAACAAATCTATTTCATTCATAAAATCTTATTAGTGTTTATATTTCATTTTTTAAAATAGAACATGCCACTTTCCCACCATAAACACATTCACACAATTTGCAAGGCTAACTAGTGCAGATATTAGAACAAATGAATCAGATAAATGAGTTTAGTGATGTGGCAAAGTAGAGTGCAGACCCGAGAAAAGGAGCAGCAGAAATATGCAGTAATCTCTTTTCCCAGTAATAGAGACTTTTTCCAAAATGCTAAAACTGAGAGATTGTGATGGCCTGATTTCTTACTAAATTAGCAAAAGCAGGTCCTGATTCAGGAAATTACTTTAGCACATGCAAAATTTTAAGCACAGATAGTCCCATTGACATCAATGGGACTACTCACATGTATATGATTATTATATGTATTATGGTAATGACTACAAGACCCAACTGAGTTTGGAGTCCCATTGGGCTAGGTACAGTGCAAACTCATAGGAAGAAATAGTCCCTGCCTCACAGAGTTTACACAAGTCAAGTCAGACAAAGGTTGGGAGGGGAAATAGATGTACATAGAGGGGAAATGACTTGCCCAAGGTCACACAGCAAGTCAGTGGCAAAGGTAGAAACATAAGGTTGGTCTCATGAGTTTCAGTCCAGTGCCCCATCCATCGGACCATACTGCCTCTCATGTTAAAGTTACATACCTTGCTGAATCTACCTTGTCTTGTTAGCTACCTTGCCGAATTGTGGTCTTCAATCTTATTTAAAGAACTGTCAAGGAAAAAATACACTAAACTATTGTAACATATTCCTACTTATAGAGTGGTAGAAATAATTTTAAAATCTGTCCTTTTCAGTGGCAGAAATAAAAACTTTAGCACAGAAAAAAACATTTGTTAATATAGCTGAAGTCAAAACTGCTTTTACTTAAATTAAAATACCATTGCTGTTCTTTTTTTTCCATTCTGATCTATGATTCTCCTCAGTTGGAGAAACTGACATCGGCCTCCATTTCCCCATTCCCCTGCTAGTTCTTTATTCATGACTCTTTAGGCAAACATTTGCAACTCACTGGGCAACTAGAGACAACTCCAGTCAAGATACAAATAGATAGCTGCTCCTTTCTTGGGCCTAGATTTGATCACAATTACATAATAACATGGCTTCTAAAAGCCTTCTTGTTAACTTCATGGAGGGTGGGACTTTCAAAGCAGCCCAAGGGAGTTAGGAACCCATTTCCCATTGACTCCTCCTCTGAAAATCCCAGCTGGGGTCTTTAAGATGTTGCTCTTACAAGGAGAAAAAACACTTTCCCCTAGTTATCTTGTTTATAGTTTAATATTGTTGCTTACAGTTGTACTAAAGCAGGTCATGCTTAGTTAAGTGTGGAAATTGGATTGGCAGTCAAACTGCTTCAGCCATGAGGGTTCTGCTTATACAGCCAAAGCACATGCATTTAGTCTTCCGTCTTTATCCCTGACTTGTCTTTTTTTAATCAATGTATAACATCTAACTATTATCAGGATGGGAAAGTACAGTAACCCTTTCAAAAAGGATCTCTTTCATTCGCACATGTCATGGGCAAGATTTACAACCCTGTTCAGTCTTCATCATCTCTGCATCCATATTTTTTTCCTGCCTCAGTGCCCAGAAAACATATACTGAGAATAAGAGCCACATTTTCAATCTACTTTTCATTAAACATTCATGCAGGAATATTAAAGTTGTACAAATATTTAAATAAATAAAAACAGCTGGACATAGAGATTTACAAGACTCAAACACATTGTGTGCCTGATATTGCTGTCATTGAAATCAAAGGGCATTTTTATTGTTGACTTTGATGGGAACAACGCTGGGCAGTTTGGGCCTGACCCAGAGTCCACTGAAATCAATGGGATTCTTGCCATTGCTTTCAATAGGCTTTGGATCAGGTACTTTGTGCCTGTGTATCTTTGATATTGATTGGTTGGAGGTGGGGGGAGGAAGGAAGATATGAAATTTGGCAAATGAGGCCAGACTCTGTAAGGTGTGCTAGTTTTCATGAAATTCAGAGCTCCAATGTGTAAACTAAGGAAGATACAAATGACATCTCAGCCTTAGCACTGACAGCATAGTTACGTACGTGACATCTCTGGGAATAGACAGTTTTGGATTAAAGAAATAGTGGCATATTAGTATAAAATAGAGTAACATGCATTCTCTAGGTGCAATCCTGGCCCTATTGAAGTAAATGGCAAAACTCCTACTGACGTTAATTGAGCTGGGATCTCACCCTCTGTATATGTTGGGGAAAGGAAAGGTTAGATGGATTTAAAACTGGTTTTCAGACTAGAGGAAATACTAGAGCCCAAGTACTTTCAAGCCACAACATCTACAGGTATGGAAGATCTGATTGTCAGGGTAGAGGGAGGCAGGATACAGGGAATCTCTGCAGGGGTCTCTGCCCCACTGGTCACGGATCACAGGTCCAGAGGAACACATTGTGCTTCATTATGGAGAGGGTTTGGAGTGGGACAAAGGCAAGGGATTCTCAACTACATTAATTCACTAGCTAATCACCCTGTAAAGGGGGCATGAGTACCACAGCATCTATGTACCCCATGGACCTCCTCAGCAAACATTTCTCAACAGCTAAGATAATAGGCTGCGCAATGGGTTCAGGATTCTGCCCTAAGAGGGTGTGGGGAGGGGAGAAGAAATCCTGTTTTCTTATTTTAGTTGGCAGAAAACTGAGATTAAATGTAGGCAGAGCAGGTAACAATGTCTAGAGGGCTTGATATAATTTCCATTGACTCTAGTGGGTATTGAATCAGGGCCACTGTTGGATCCGGCCCACAGTTAAAGTGGGACCAGTTTCCATTCTAAGGGATAATTTTCAGTTGTTTATAATATTTTCAATCTTTTTTCCTTCCTGGCTGAAATCTGTCAGATTCATTCTTAGTTTAGGAGAGAATGTTTTCTGGAATGTTGGAGTCAAAAAGGTTCAGTCATTTTCATGGAGAAAAGTGACAAATTGCATTTTCCCCAGTATAATTTTTTTTGTACCAGTCAGTGAGAGCTGGGTCCCTAAAGCTGGATATTGAGTTTATGTCCTGCAGTAATTTCATGAAAGTAATTGTGATGTCATGCATTTGTGACACTGAAGTGGGAATTTAAAGTGGTTATAATATGAGAACAAATGGCTTCAAAGCAGGCATCAAAAGAAGGAGAGAGACTGTGAATGTCTAGAACCTCCCTCTACTTTGCATAAATATCTTTGATGATTATCAAAAAAAGAATAAATAAATAAATAAAACAATGCATGAAAAGTAAATGGATTTAGAGGGTGGGATTTTCAGACATGCTCAGTGTCAGTCTAGTGAAATCAATTGCAAAACTCCCCTAGACTTCAGCGGGAGCAGACTTACAAAAAGCACTCAGTGTTGGCCTATTTAAATATGCCAGCTTTTTGTTTGTCTTTTCTGTATGAAAGTCTCTACATTACAAAATTTGAACAAAAGTTGAACAAAGGCCCAGGCCAAACCAGCTAACAACAAAGCGAATAAACTGATCATGATAAGCATTAAAGGTTCAGTCGCTGCCGCACTTCATTAACATTATGAGGTATCACCAACTGGTTGGAGATAGCCAGTGGCCCACACATTATGTCTTCTGTACAAAGATGACATGCAAATAGAAACAATTTCAGCCTCAGGGGCAACTTTGAACTATTTACCAAAATATTGTTCAATTTATAAATTTTTAATAAAACTGCCTTGTGTGAATTGGAAAGTGATAGGAAAAATTAAAGTCGGTGTGTTTTTACATGCTAATTTTGCTGAGTTCAGCCAGTCCAAGTTTTCTGATTATCTTATACTAAAGGGAATTATTTTAATGTGTACAGTCATTGATATGTTCAGGTTAATTTATAAAATGATACCACCAATGGATAACAATTTAGCAGAGCTTTTATATGCATTTTTCATAGTTATTAATTGCCAAGATAGCTGTGCTTGTATATGTATATATAAAATAGAAAATCTTTCTTTAATCATAGAATAGAATCATAGAATATCAGGGTTGGAAGGGACCTCAGGAGGTCATCTAGTCCAACCCCCTGCTCAAAGCAGGACCAATCCCTAACTAAATCACCCAATTTTTTGCCCCAGGTTGAAAACTCTGTAGCTGAGGGTTGTAACATACTCTATCCTGTTGATTGGACACAGAAAGGGACCCGTAATATACATTCACTGGTGTTTTGCACTTAAACCATTAGTGAATCTGTCCTCTTGTCTTCACAGTCACACCATTTTTGTGGTAAGAGATATTGACCCTACCAATTCTGTAAAAAGACTAGGAAAAATCAGGAAATTGACAAGAAAAAACAAATGATCATATGAAAAACACCTACCACTAAAGCAGCACAAATAGGCCCATGGATAATGTACAGCAGATGAGTTTCAGAACTGATCCAGCAGCTGTGGAGAAAATGGAAAGAATAACCATTTGGGCCTTTGATTAATTACCATCTCTCTTTGAAAGAAAATGTTACATTTTTAGAAACAAAAGCTGAGATTTTACTTACTTGTCATTGAAATACATACTTCTTGCTACAGCGTGTATGCAGGCAGGGATCAATGGGAATCCTGAGAACAGCAAATTTATAAATCAGCCTAATTCAAAGATTAATTCTGTCATTAATTCTGTTAAAATGACAATCAGTAAGTGTTAAACATAATGAACGAATACACATAATAAACCTAATTTCATCCTGCATGCCTAGGGTGACCAGATAGCAAGTATAAAAAATCGGGACAGAGGGTGGGAGGTAATAGGTGCACAGATATACATGATTTCAGGTACTTTTTGATTTGAATGAGATTTTTCCAGAGTAAGGCCTGATGTAGCAAGCATCTGTGATGAAAAATCTAATCCTGAGTAATAGTGCAGCAAGTAAGGCCTGGTCCACACTAACCCCCCACTTCGAACTAACATACACAACTTCAGCTACGTGAATAACGTAGCTGAAGTCGAAGTATCTTAGTTCGAACTTACCGCGGGTCCACACGCGGCAGGCAGGCTCCCCCGTCGATGCCGCGTACTCCTCTCGCGGAGCAGGAGTACCGGTGTTGACGGCGAGCACTTCCGGGATCGATCCGGGATCGATTTATCACGTCAAGACAAGACGCGATAAATCGATCCCAGAAGATCGATTGCTTACCGCCGGACCCAGAGGTAAGTATAGACGTACCCTAAGGCTCCAATCCAGCAAAACATTTAAGCAAGTGAGTCAACCCATTGACTTTGTAAAATTAAGTACATGCTTAAAGCTCTGCTGGATGAAAGCCCTGAGTAGGAAGACAGATTGAAAATTTAAAATCAGACCAGGTAAGTTAATGTAACAACATTTTTCATCTATTGTTTTCATTCTCACACTTGAAAATTAATGCTCATTTTTAGGCATGTTTCCTTACATTAGTATAATTCTGTGCAGATTGCTAGACAAGCCCCCTCTAATTCACTGGTGTTTTTGTACATACAGCAGTATGAACAGCCGTGCAATTGTACTGGTTATGTTTTGCTTGTTTTCTGTGTGTTTTGTTGGTTTCTAGTACATGGAAAATAACTAGGAAACAAATATTTGCATCAGCCTTGGGAATCTTATATTTTTTCACTTCAACCATGCTATGTGTTGCAAAACCATATAGCACTATACAGCAAAACATCATTTGATTTGCTCCAATGTCTGTCCTGTCATATGGAAATGTAGTTCAGTATGTTGTATTATTAGGAAATTTGTACTTGTCTATATAAATAAATCTTATGTCAAATCGTAAACAAAAAGGCATTTTAAAAAAGTACAACTCCAACCATACTGACATTTTCCAGACTGAAAGCTATATTAATGCTTAATGGGATATGCATAAAAGTTCACAGTCTCAACAGGGTTAATTAAAATGCCTCTAGAATAATTTTTAGTGATCTATAGTATATGTACTTGAGTATATAAAAATAAAACTACCAGAAAAGAGGTTTCAAATATTTATTGAATCCCTAATTACCTACATTTTGAACATTGATTTTTGGTGCCCAATCTGAGACAACATAAAAGGGCCTGATTTTCAGAAACTGCTGAGCACCTATGTTCTCAAAATCAGGTCTCTTGGATGTGTCTCAAGATGAGCAACCAAAAGCTGAAGCGTACAAAATCACTAGTCACTTCAGAAAATTTTGGCCTAAAAGCTTTGTGCAAATACAGCCAGAAGCCTGAGTCCTGACTTTTGTTAAAGCGCTATCCCACACTGCCTTAATCTGTCATGTTCAGTTTGTGGTCTTTGGTATTGTTCTTTACGTAAGCTCTTTACCTACAGTAATTCTCTATTTGCTTTGTGAACAATACAGGTCAAGCGGAACCTCTGGAAAAATAAATGCTTGGCCTTCCCCAATTCAGTTTTGACCCTCCTCCACCCTAGGCATGGTGAGACGTCTCTGAAAACAAACATTCATTCCTGTATAAACATCTTCAAGATGAGAAACAATGAATAATTACTTCTTATTGTCTCTTCATAATAAGAGGCGCTTTTCTTTATGCAAAGGAGGAGTCACTTCCTGACTTCTCCAGGACATAATCTGTCTTTTAGCAAAGACAGAGGTATATGTAAAAAGCTGTGCTAAAACAGTAAGGACATGTTGAATTTCAGAGAAACAAAATAGATCTGATACACATTGCTGAAGTACTTGCGTACACAGTATTAGTTTTATAGATTTAAATTAAAAATGATGGTTTCCCGCTCCTCCCCTCCCCCCCCCCAAAATCTTGAGGCAGCAGCAGTTTGTTTTTTGTTTTTAAAGAGAACAATTTATGGAATTACATACCCCAGCCGAGAAGATAATACCACATCAAGTGTTGTTTCTCTGCAAAGACAGCCACCACAATGAGAGTATGCAGATAAATGCCTTCACAGAGCATCCAGAAGTAATGGCAACCGATTAAATACAAGTAAATGAACTGATATACTTTGCAACTAAGCTGTGGAAAAAACAAAGAATACAGCTTGAATAATTCGTTTGCAATGGTTCCAGAGAGATTCAATGGCAAGAGGGAAGCATTACTTATTTCGTCACTCTGCTTTGCCAAGAATTTTGCTTTGATATGTGATATTCATAAGGCAGTACTCAAATTGTGACATCCAGATGACTCCACAAAGGAGACTAGTTTTATTAGCTGACTTGATTTTTGGGATGGAGGCTGAAGGCCTCCAGCATCATGGAGAACATGGTGGGCATAGGGAAATTTTTTTAAATGATGAAGTTTTCCCCTCAGAGGATCCTCATGTTGCTAACACTGATGTAAATTCATCAATGCAGATAAATAAAGATTCCTCAAATCTTTGTGAAAAGTATCTGATGGTAAGTAATATCTTTGGGCAGAAGATCCTTTGATTAGGCCACATTATCCTCTCAGTTACACCAGCAACTCCAGTGGAAACAGTGCATGCACTCTCCTCGGTGAAAGGAGATTCACCTCCTTAATAGCTCTTAGGATGTTTAGACTTTTGCCCCAGTCCTCTCTACAAAACTTAATCTTATACTCCAGAACTAAACCAAGAGTCTAATAGGGTCTAATTTTCCTCTCACAGTTTTGCACTGGTTTACTTCTACTAAACTACACCAATGTGAATGCTATCAAAATCAGGCCCATGCACATTTTTCCTGCTGTAACCTTACAAAGCCAAGTTCCCCAACACCAGTCTGAATCTGGATCATTCCACTAAAGACATTGAAATTGCACCAGTGCAAGCGTGTGACAGGAAAGCCAGTCACTATCTATGAATTTATTTTTATTTAGTTCTGAAGCATAATCTTAAATTCTTTTGAAATAGTCCAGGCAAAATCCTAAATGTTTTAGAAACCAGTACCTCTCCTGTTCACTGGAAAAAAACCATCTAAGCTTGGATTCATGGGATTGCTCAGAATAATCATTCCCTTGATAAGCTAAGCAGGCAGCAGCACATGACAGAACTATTTTAATTTATAGCTAGCCTTAGAGTAAATACCAGAAATATTATAACTAATACCACCCAGCAGAAAAAAAGGTATCTACTGTATGCTAACCAGTAAATTCTCTAGTTGTTACTGCTAAGGAGTGAAATGCAAGGTTAAACAATATTGTACCTGACTATATTTAAATTAAAATATTTTTGAGTATTGAAAATGACCAGGACTTTTTATGTAAGTGTTCAAAAATGAACAAGGGCTCCACAATCTAGTCCTCGCTACATAAGCCTCGCTAACTGCCCTGCATTCCCATGAGATAGTGAAGTGTTATTATCCAACTTTAAAGAAGGGGGGGAGGGTGGAACAAAAGCCACAAAAAAAGCAAATAACAGAGGCAGATTTAGAACTCAAGACTTCTTTATTGCCAACCCCAGGACAAATTCATCCCAGGTATAACTTCATTTAAATCATTCTTCCAGATCATAATACTTTCCTGACACTGTTTTAGTATTGTGTAAGAATACAAGAGATCTATCTGCATGACACACAATACCAAACTGAAATCAGAAATGTAGTCCAATACTATCTATTTAATAAAGATCCATGTGATTTTGAACTCCCCTGCCCTCACAAACCCTAGCTGGCCAAACTGACCAGACATCTGTTGCATTATTTAAAAATGAATAAATTCTTACTTCAATTCAAAAATGTTAGCTTTGATAGACATGATATCATGAACTAATGATATCTAATTTATTAATATTTTCCATCACTAAATTTATTTCCACACAAATCAACAGTGCAGCCAAATCCACTTTCACTTACTGGATTAGTTGCAACTAACTGCTGGTTGTTGACAACTGCCGCCAGCCAAATTATTGTAACGATGGAGTTGCAAACAAAAGAGAAAAACAGATTTTTATGTAGGGTTATCCTTTGGCAACTCAAGCTCCTAGAAAAGAGAGACAAGAGCAAATTAATACATATGAGTTCTCAGCCTCATATTAACTATTCTGCCAACTCATTTTAAAAGAATAAATTTAATACTGTGAAAGGTAAAGATTTTCTTTATCCTTGATTTTATTTCTATTTGGCTGTATAATGCAAATCAAGTGCAACAAGTTTTATTATGCTTATAAGAAAAGGACTTGCTTTGGAGCAATTGGCTCAAAAAGATCTGGGAAAATATGTTTACTTACTATTGCAAGGTGATATTTTATTCCATGCCAAATTATTTTTAAAAGTGTATGCCCCACCAATTATTTTCATACACAGGAATATAGCATTTACTAAGGAATTGGTCCTTCTAATCCAGTATCCTTGTTCAGAGTCACACAGCAAGTCCATGCTGTTGCACAGACAGGAATAGAACCTAGGCCTTGTGACCATCAGGCTCTCCCCCTCTCCCTCCCTCTCCTAGAGCCAGGGGCCTGTGAATGTGTGAAAAGGGAGAGAATCACCACAATAAGAATCTCCACCTCTTGCACCCTCAGTGCAGGAGCTGAGCATAATGGGAGTCCTAGTACTACAGGAGTGCAAAGACTCTGTACAGGGTGAGCACCACTCTTAGCACTAGCGTCTGCAAAAGATGTAGAGGAAGGGTTGCGGCCTTCGGGAAAAGTGTCACTGGAAGTCCAGGAAGCTCCACAGTGGCCTAAAACTACATCTACACTTACAGTGGCTTGTAGAGTACAGGGTGCTACACCTGTAGCTTCATGCTGCAGTGAAAGTCTCTGGCAGCAGGGAAAGGCTCTGGCAATGGTGTGGAATTGTGGCTACATGCTGCAGTACAGCTCTATCCATCTACCCTCCTTTTACTGGGAGGACAGTAGTGTTAATTGGCAGAGAGAAATTCTAACTAAAAAAGGAAAATCTATCATGAACAACTCCAATTACTCTTCACTGTTGTGGAGGCCAGACATCAATTCACGCCAGTGAGTGCCAAGTCTGAATGCATCAGGAAAGGGGGGAAAACCCGCACTGTCTAGTCTTCACAAACAGCACACCAAGAAAAACTAAAATCTGGACAAATATTGCTCAATATTTGAGCCAGGAAGATGATACAGATTAATATAATAATGTTTTCATAGCAATGTATTTACAGTATCTTTACAAGTGTTGAGGTGCAGTGACCGGCAATCTGTTGAAGACATGCGAGACATAGGAAGAAAGGTAAAAGCAAAGTAGAAAGTCACCAGTATGGTTAGATAGGTGTATTTTATGCCTGTTCAAGTCATACTGTAAAGATCTGCATTATAAAATTATGATTATGTGTTCACAATTTTTGCTCAGGCACCAGAAGGGAGTATGAAGCTTCCCCCAGGTAAATAGAGCTGACCATAGAGGAACCCATGCCAGTTAAGGTTAAGTCTACATGTGTGGTGACAGAATATAGACGCTGCAAGCCCAGCGAACATGGGTATAAATAGCAGTGTAGACAGCGAGGCACAACGTAGGCAAGTAGAACAGAGTAGAATGCCCTACATGACTGAACCCTAGGGTATATACCCTACACATCTCTCTACGGTGCCTCCACGTTCTATACTGCTATTTTTAGCAGTGTAGTGTCTTGCTGCTAGAGCCTTTCACCACTGCAGTGAAAGGCTTCGGCAGTAGGAAAAGGCTCTAGAAGGGTAGAGGCAGTGGAGAATGGCTCTGGCACCTCCCTACTGGAGCCTTTCACTACTGCATGTTGCTACACACCACAGTGGACACAGCCTGCCTTTCACTGTGGTGTGTAGCTGCATGCTGGTGCAAGTGTAGACAAGGCTAGTCATTAAGGACCAGATTGTGGAGCCCTTGTTCAAACTGAGTACCACCTTACTCCACATGCAGTCTCAATGAAGTCAATGGGACCACACTTGAGGAGCAAGCCGCTAATTCACACAAGGAAGGATGTTAGAATCTGGCCCCAATGATTTGCAAAGGTTAATCTTCTGAAAAAAATATAGATAGAAAATGCACAAATCACACAATGCAGCTATGAATATGAATTAAGTAGTAAATTATATTCTATTAGGTCTTCTCTGGATATAATTTTGTTTTTGTCTTTGGGGTTTAATTCCTGAAGAACATGCAGGTTTGACTATGGATGTATATAGAAATGACTCCAGACTAGAACTAATAGTTATATGCAAAATGAGTCATGAACAACTCCGGGACTCTGTGTCTGCTTATTGTCAAGACCTCAATGCACAGGCAAGGAAAAAAACGTACAACTTATGAGGCCATCTGTCAGGGTCATCCAACAGCTGTTCCTGTTGAATATTCAGCACGCCCACCCACACCCCTGCACCCTCCCCCACCCATGCATGAAAGGAACATAGGATAAGAAACAAGAAAGCAAGACTGATGACATTTAAAAAGGAAGAAAAGACTCTTTCAGCAATAAATAGGATTCCTTCCTAATCCCCTACACCCCTTCTCCACACTGTTTTTGTTACTGATATAATGGCCTTTAATAATTCCTTCTCATATTATGATCTAAGTGTCATTTAAGGGTCTATCACTAGGCTTACCCTCATGAAATAAAATTTGGTTTGCATTGATCTATGGCACTCCATGAAATACATTTCTCTGATGTCTGTGGATAAGAAATACAGGGTAACATTTTCAAAAGTCCCTAAATGATTTTAGGTCCCTAAAGGACCAGATTTTTAAAGGTATTTATGCCCCTAAAGAAGCAGACAGGTGTCTCTTGCGATTATTAAAAGAATTTAAATGAGTTGGGCCTTTGACTTTCAATGGGAATTAAGTACCTAACTTCCTTAGGAGCTTTTTTTAAAAGAATTCCAGAAGGAATCTGCCTTTTTAAGGTGCTAAAATACCCTTGTAAATCTGGCCCTTTGAAAGCCTAGGTTCCAGGACTTTCAATGGGATTTATGCTCGTAAATGCCTACAGCACTCTTCAAAATGGGATTTAAGCATTTTGAAAATTTTACCCAATATGACATATACAGGATCAGGCAGTATCTCTGAAAATAGTCTTCCTGCCTCATAACACAAGAACAAGGGGACGTTTAGTGAAATTGAAAAGTGGCAACTTCGAAGCTGATTTTTTTTTCTTTATACAATCCATAATATGACCCTGGAACTCTCTGCCAAAAATTTAGCAAGAATCAAAAAGAGACTGGGCATTTATGTAGATAACAAGACTATCCAGAGTTATAATAGCTAATGCTGACATTTTTTGGGAAGGGATATAAAACCATCTGCTTTAGGATTTAAACCAATCTCTACCAGGGTCTAGCATGAAACCTTCATGAGGGACAGATTATCCCATATCTGTCTACTATGAGGTTTCCTGCACCTTTCTTCTGAAGCATCTAGTTCTGGCCACTGTTGGAGATAGCATACTAGACAAGACAGACCACAGGTCTGATCCAGTACAACAATGTCTCTGTTTCTATGTCTAATTAATTTTTCCTCTTTCTTCCTCCAAACCCTTTCCCTCCCCCCCGTGCCTATTGTTCTTGTAAGCTGTCACTTGCCCCATCCTTTCTCTGCCCTCTCTTTATTTTAGATCTTTCTTAAAAGCTTGGTTAGCAGGTAGTTTATATGATACACAAGGAAGATGTGTGTGTGTGGTACTTCAAGAGAATCAATGTTTACACACCCTCTGATTTTCTTTCATAGATCCCTTTCTAAAACTGCACCAGCTTTGTGCAGCTAGTTCATACAACACACAAGTACAGTGTTTGTATACTATCAGCTTAGAGCCATGGGAGAGCCAGAAAGTTGAACCAGTACAAGAAGTTGCACTGGGCAGTCACAAATAGAACTTGAAATCCCCAAAGGGTCTGGTTCTGTATTTAGAATCCAAAATATTTCAGTGGATTCTAAAATCAATGAAGTGAGTTATCCAAAAAAAATTGTAGGTATGACATAACTTTTCATACAGAAAATACAAAACCCGCAAACCCGTTGTTTCCCATATGATATCTGCTGGACTACAGTTCATTAAAATATTTTTAGTGCTGGTTGGAAAGCACTCTTCTCCATGGAAAATGTAAACTTTTTTGTCAAAAACCTCAAACATTTTGGTTTTTGATTGAATGAAAGTTTTTGCAGAAAGTGTCTACTTTCTCCAAAAGTTTTGATTTTTCAGCTGAAAATCAAAAAGTTTTATGTTTTTGACAAAAAAGTTTAAATTATCCATGGAGAAAAGTATTTTCCAACCATCATTAAAAATACTTTAATGAACTGCAGTCCAGCAGATATCATATGGGAAACAATGTTTCCACAAAAAAGCATAAATACATTGGAAACTCAAAATTCCAAATATACTCCCACACAACAATAAAAAAGCTCCATCTGTTAAGGCCATGAATTACCTTAACAAATATCAGCCCATACATAACACATCCTAGAATTAGGCTAGATTCTCAAACATTTTTGTACTAATAAAAATACTATACAGGATCTGTGCATGTATCCCATGAGAACATCTTGTAGAGGCCTTTCCTCAGCTCCCTTTAAATGTTGTAATTTCCTTTTGTATCCCAGCATAACCACAGACTAGGAATTGTGGTTTGTGGGTCTGGATTTTTTCCATGTCATTCTCTAAGGATATGGGATCTTTCTACCAAAGAAACCATTGCCTTAGAGAATTAGAGAAACATAACATTCTTACAATTTACTTCAATAGTAGCAATGCAAACCACCTGGCTTTGCTGTAAACACTGATAGTGTTGTCACAAGCTGAGATGAAATTGGCTTGGATTTCTATTCTAAAAAGTGAAAATCCAGCTTTAATATGACTGTGGTTTCAAATCACCTCCAAATTTGTTTAAAAATTCAATGCCCAAACATTTTTTTCACAGCGTTTGATTTTCAGTCTGTTAAAACGCATTATGAGTTTTAGAGCAGCAGTAAAACCCTCTCTGTGCCAAGTGAAACAACTGTTGACACTCACGGATTCTTCATCAGTCTATTTTATTCAACAGTGAACAACTAAAAAAAAGGCTCCAAAATATACATCGTTTTTACTGAAGAATTACAAGCTACACTCACGTACACACAATTTTACCATCTTCATGAGAAGCAGAATAACATGAACATTGCAGTTTAAGGCTAAGATTTCCAACTGTCTAATGGTTTTGGGTGCCCAACTTGAAACACCACATAAGGGCCTACATTTTCAGAAAATGCTGAACACCTACCTTCTGAAAATCATAACCCTTAATAGTGTCTCATTTGGGCTATCAAATGTTCATGTACCAAAAACTGCTAGTGAGTTTTGAAAATCTTAGTCTAAATCTTGAAAAATATGCACTTAAATTGGAGGTTCACTGTATTAAGTTGGATATACCTAAAAGATGGTTTTGCATATAATTGCTAGTCGCCTACTGCCCTTATTGGCCTAACCCAGACCAAAGATAGTGACTAGAAATCTTTGGATGAGATTTTGATCAGCCCCTCTGTTTCCAATTAACTATTACCCTACTCAGGGATAAGATATATCAAAAATTGAAAGGATGAGAGAGAAAGAGAGATTATAACTTTTAATTACCCTGCTGAAGGTTCATATTTATCATTAAAATAACAATTAATAGGTGTAGTGTTTCTACCCTAATTAGCCCTGTTGTCTTTGATGAGATTACTCACGGTAGGAAGTCTTGCAAGGTCTTGGAACAAATTTTGAAAGAGAAAGTAGTTAAGGACACAGGTAAACAGTAAAAGGGATAAAATACAACATGGTTTTACAAAAGGTAAATTGTGCCAGACCAACCTGATCTCCTTCATTGAGAAGATAACTGATTTTTTAGACAAAGGAAATTCAGTAGATCTAATTTACCTGAATTTTAGTAAGGCATTTGATACAGTTCCCCATGGGAAATTATTACTTACATTGGAGAAGATGGGGATTAATATGAGAATTGAATGGTGGATAAGCAACTGGTTAAAGGGGAAACTACAACAGGTCATACTGAAAGGTGAACTGTCAGGCTGGAGGAAGGTTACTAGTAGAGTTCCCCAAGGATCAGTCTTGGGACCAATCTTATTTAACATTTTTATTAATGACCTTGGCACAAAAAGTAGGAATGTGTTGATAAAATTTGTGGATGACACAAATTTGGAAGGTATTGCTCATATGGAGGAGGACCAGAATACCATACAAGAAAGTCTGATGACCTTGAAAACTGGAGTATTTGAAGTAGGATGAAATTTAATAGTGCAAAGTGCAAGGTCGTGCACTTAAGGATTAACAACAAGAATTTTTTGCTATAAGATGTGGACTTATCAGTTGGAAGCCACAGAGGAAGAGAAAGAAATGGTGTATTGGTTGATCACAGGATGACTATGAACCACCAATGTGATGCAAGTGTGAAAAGAGCTAATGCAATCCTAGGATGCATCTGGAGAGATATTTCCAGTAGAGACAGGAAAGTGTTAATACCATTATACAAGGCACTGGTGAGACCTCATCTGAAATACAGTGTGCAATTCTTGTCTACCATATTTAAGAAAGAGGAATTCAAACTGGAACAGGTGAAGAGAAGAGCTACGTTGGATGATCAGAGGAATGGAAAACCTACCTTTTGAGAAGAGACTCTAACAGCTTGGCTTGTTTATTAACCTAACCAAAAGAAGACTGAGAAGAGATATGACTGACTCTATAAATACATCAGAGGGATAAATACCAGCGAGGGAAAGTAGTTATTTAAGTGAAGCACCAATGCGGATACAAGAACAAATAGATATTAACTGGCCATCAATAATTTTAGGCTTGAAATTAGACAGTTTTCTAAGTTTGAAAGCTAGAATTGAAGAGGAGGATATGGGGTGGATGGGTCTAAAAGTCCACAGATCCACTGGCCATTGTTTCTCATGGAGGCAGCCACAGTGTTGTGGGCGCTATTGCAGCCTCAAACTAGCAGTAGAGACTCAAAAGCAACTTTGTTGCCTCTCTTTGTTTTGGGATGGAGGAGGAGGAGGAGGAAACAAACCTGGCTGCCTGGGCTTGGTGTGGAGGACAGGGATTTATCCCAAAGTATCTTTATTATTTTGAGTATCTTGCTGTTCAGTACTCACCTTCCTTTAGCTGTAGGTCTAGGAATGTCCTCTGGTCCCTCTGAACTAGCTCATTAAATGCTTTAAGATGGAGCAGTCCCATAGTGTAATAGCTGTCAAGTAGTGTTTATTAGCTCACTACACTAAAGGGTCAGTTCAGCAGGACCAGAGGCTCACACCTGAAGAAACCATTGGCCAGCCAGACACCATCTGAAACTTCAGGCTAATCAGGGATAGTCAGTGATGCTTCCTTACTGTAGCTCAGGATTGCAACAAAAGCTGGGATGGGTGACAGAGTATTTGGTCACCTGACAGTAAACAAAAAATTCACCTGGCCAATTATTACTGATATACGAGTTATTCATAATTTGGTGTATACATTCCTATAATCAATGTCAAGAAGAAAAAGAAGAGGTGAGAATGCAGAAAATGGAGTATAAAGCCAGAGATAGGACAGTTACTCTAGAAAATTCAAAAAAATGTCATCCTTAATTATTTTCTTAATTATTCACCTTAACCAGGCACTAGTTCCAGAAGACAATAATCAACATGATTTATTTCTTCTCCCTGCTCATACCCTTTACCTTCTTAGGTTTCTGGGAAATAGGAGAATTTTCCTTCGTATTATGATATACCTTTGAATGCTAAGACATTCAATGATCCAAACCCATATATTCAATTTGGATCCTCCACCCAACCCTTATTAACATTTTAGGGTATCGGGTATTTCAAATTGCCTGATTACCCAGGATTATTGTAGCCAAGGGCGTCTGGTGAAAGATGCAAAAACATATACTTACTTAAAATAAAAGAATATGCCAAGGGAAATCAAAAGTGATGCAATTGAAAGACCATGCCCGATGATGGCCAGATAATACAAATTCAGGGCTGTCTGCAATAAAGTAACAAAATAAAAAACACATTATCAGCAATACAAAAATACTCTTGATAAAAGTACACCCCAGCAGACCTCTATTACATGTAGAACATCTGTAATGGATTAAAAAATGAAAAATATTATAGATCAATAGTGAGTCAGCTCTAGAGGTCCTGTGAGTAACTCTAAGAGGATCCTAAGCCATTGAAGATTCTCTCTCCATATGGCACGTAACATTAGTAGCGGTCATGTTTAATACTCATTGTATGTCAGTTAATGCGTCATTTTTTAATAGACACTCCTAAGTCTTTTCTGTGCATTTACGTAATCTGAGCTATTTACGTTACTCTGCTAGGAACATTCATGGCTAAAGGTTGATTCATCCAATAATGCTGCTCCTCTGCAAAGCAGAAATTGATGTGTTTTGGAGATGCATTTATGTAACCCTTTCATGTGGAACTCTTGTAGGAGTGGGTTTTTCTAAGCATTTGAAAGACATTTCCTTCCAAACAGGGCCTACGTTTGCCATGTTGGAACTTCAGCTTTCAATCAGCATTCCAGAAAGAGCATGAAATAAATTAATGATAACTCAAAAATAGCTGCAATTAAACTTGTGTCTTAAATCTGTCTTCAGCAAGCTACATTAAAGAATTTTGAAAAATTACGTAGTAAAGAAAACACTGTAAAAATAAACACTTATAAAGAGCAGTTTAAGGAATACTTGGCAACATATGATGTATCTTCATTAATAATCTGAAGTAAGCAGCACATTAAACACTACCACCACTTTGAATTTACCTAATACTTTCCAGTCAAGATTACCAATATTACAAACATCCAGTTATTGAATTTAGCCTCTCAAAAACACCTATGATGCAGTAAATCTTCTTACCCCCACTTTGCATAAATGGAAATGCAGGCATAGAGGGCAAAATCCTCTCCACCTGCATACAGCCCAAATAACTGGGTTCTGTGAGAGGAATTGAGATGAGAAATCCATGCCCCCAACACAAGACTAGGGCATCGGACTATAGTGCAGATTCCTGACTTCCAGAGACTCAATTAAAACCTTTGGCCTAGAATATCCACCACTGGGGCAGTTGTGTAGGATGTTAAAGCTACAGGACCTATGTAAATAAATTCTGTGTGGTCTACTAACAGTCTCATTGAACAAGGCAAGGATGCATAGTCCTACAAGATGAAATTTCTTTATTTTTACTCTTTTTTAAAATAATGAAGGAAATTCAATTCAAAACAACATTAAAAGAATGTTATGGCTGCAAAATGAAGCACTCTGAAATTTGGAAGTGTCAAAACTAAAATTATCCATGCAACTTTAACTCTGACACTAGTGACAACACTAAATGATATGATGGCATGCTTTTTTCTCTCTCATTCAGTGGACAATTTTAGATGATGGAGGAGGTATAAATCTAGAAGATTTCTGCCTAATTTAGTGCCAACATTGAGTGGTGTGCAGCAGAGTGGGAATGGGACTACTCATAGACTAGTAAGTATAAAAAATAAATAGTGAACATCTGCCACCTTTACTGGGCAGCTCCTAATCTGCCTACTGAGTGAGGCATGAAACCATTGTATACAATCATGCACGTATCATTTGTGCTACCAAGTAAGCAGCTGCACACTCTTTTAACGTAGGTTTTTGTATGGAATAATAATACAAGTCAGCATTGAGGGATGTTGGCAGAGCTATCTGACGGAAGCTTGCACATCTCATTATTCACAGTAAAGACCCTGGATGGCTCTGGAGCAGCTTATTTGGCTAATCTTCTCTATATTTCCAGCCACATTGTAGTGAAAATGAAGTTATGACGTTTGTTCCATTTACAAACTAAATTAGAAAAGTTCATTCTCATTATTTGAGGCAAAGTTAAAGAAACATGCTCATTAAAGACTTTAGCTGTTCTTCAGTGTGAATGATTGTTCAGTACTCTGAGCTATGATAGAAATACAGATTTTTATCATCACTTGCCTTCAATATTAGTACAAGCCACTACTACTGATCCCCTCACTCTTTTGAGGACTAAATTCATTCAGAATCTGACCCACTATAGCTTTTCAAGTTCTATTCCTTGGGCAATTTACAGTTTCATATATTTTTCTGTTTGTTACTTGCCTTCATTTTAACTGTTAATTTAAAGAAAAAACTATAAGCAGCTGCATCTCTTTCAGCTGAGGGTACATTTTCCTTTATCTGTGATGCCACTAGATATCACAGCATAGCTCAAAGATAGACAATAGATGGCATTTTAACAAGCTGTTTGTTGCTATTACTGAGTATAAATATGCTGTGCTTCTGTTGTCGGATTTCTAATTGACATCTCCAAACTCCAGTGACATCTACAGAAATTCCATCTTTGTGACAGACACCATGCACTGTGGCCTGATTGTTCCTCCAGATCCACACGCATAGATGAAGACTTCCATATACAGATCTGGCCTTGCCTGCATGGATGATAAAGCGTGAGTTGTTCATTCCTGGGACCCTGTAAATGGCTGTCTGTGGGAGCTGGAACAAGTGCCTTGGGCAGGGAAGGCGGTAATGTGTCTATCCAAAACCACACGGGAGTAGAGCTCCTCCAGATTTTTACATTTTTGATGAAAGATGGGAACAATTTTTTTTTTTTGCTAAAATTAATGTGAACCAGCTCGGCTCAGGAGTTACTCCATCTTGGAGATATATTAACGACATCTATGCACCTGCTGTTAGGGAAATTGCTGTCATTATGACTGCACTGGATGGACCATATCGTTGGCAGATCCTTCTGAGATCTGCATCCCTCATGGAGATCTATGGGGTTCTGGGCCTTTTTTTTCCACTTGTGGGTAGGATCAATTCTGAAGAAATTCAGAGCAAAGATTTGAAGGGAATCTCTTCAAAGTTTTCTTCCCTCTTTGCACACATGCTTGCGCTAGCTCAAGTGGAAACTGTAGTGTAGGCAGGGTAGCGCAGACAGTGTAGGCACAGCTTAGTCATTCTAAAGAAGTACCCATAGGGTTCTGGTGGGTTTGTACCTACACTGCCTGTGCTAGCACAGCTACACTACTATTTATACTTGTAGTTATGCACACCACTAGCTTGCAGCGTAGAGGTATCCCCAGAGTAACATTACATACTTCAAGCTGGTCTAAAACTGGTTAAATCAGAATCCAGCCCTTTGAGTCTGCTTAGCCTGCTTTCTTCTCTTGTTGCCTCTACAGATTGCTGTCCCCGCTTCTAAACACATTATAAGAAAACATAAGGGAATTACGTGGCAATGAAAAAACTAGTATATTAATGACGGTCAATTTTGCTGGTATTTGAGGTTTCATCAAGACTGTTACAAACTTTTCAAATGAGCTTCCTATCCATGGTAACATGCATTCCTCTCCTACCTTTACTTTTTCATGTGTACGGAGATTACACTGGGTGTAGTTTGTCCATGTTCTGTTGCTTTCAGGATGTCTAAACCAGTTTCCATTTTGGTCACAAATCTTTGTAACTTTTTCTTTAGCCAGCCAAAATGGGGAAGAAAAAGCAAGGCAAAAAAAAAAAAAAAGTCAATACTCAATGTCTGTTTCTCCATCTCTAGTATTTCATAGCCTATAAAAACTGGCAAAGGACAGACAGATTTATTAGTGTGAAGAGAGAGCTTTCTTACATTAATATGAATTTTGAGAACCTGGTAGCCATTGTATTTGCTTGGCAAGGGCAAGCAAACAAAAATACCTCCCCCCCCCATCCTTCAATCTAATTACTCTAAAACTGTATCACGCAAACTATTAGAGAACTAGATGGCATGATAAGAAGATTTAAGTTCTTTTGTGATAATCAGGGATCTAAATTAAAATCTGAAATTTTAGTCTAATAAATAGAGTTGGAGAGGAAAGAAAATGTCAGGAGAGATATTGCTTATAATGTTGACAATCACTGAAGAAATTGCTTTATCTGTGAATGCTTTACTGCCAATGCCTAGCCAAATACTCTCAGGCATGAAAGGGCACTGGGAGACCCCAAACACAGAAGAATCAATCCAGTTTATGACATTCTCATGACCACAGAGGGCATGTTTCAATTAAGAAAATAGGTCAGGGTTGACCATGGAGGGAAAGTAGTTAACTGTGACCAGCTGAATTTGAGGTAAAAGGTATTAACATCTGTCTACATGTTAGGGAAACATTCTGGGTTAACTAACACATTAACAAACCTTGTGCTACCCTCACCTTCTTTTTCTAATCTATACAGCCTTGCAGGGGCAGTTATCGGTGTGGTGGTGCAGTGGGGAGTGTCCTGCCAGTGGGTGTGTGGCCAGTGGACCTGGGCAAGGAGCAGGTGCATACATCCAGTAGGTGTGCAATAACATGGAACCTTTTGTAGTAGCAGCTGCCCAGGAGCTGAGCCACTGATCTGTGCTTGGTGGTTAGATCAAGAAGAAGATTAAATCACCCCCACGTGCCATTTAGCCAAACAAAACTGGCATACAGGTTCATACACATTTACCTGATGGGTTAAAGTCCTGAAAGTAGTCAGGACAGCGTTGTATTGATACGGTTCCTGCTGCAATATCATTCCAACACAACCAACCATCCCATGTTCTGTTACAGTAAGGACCTACACAAATGTAGAGAAATCAGATAATAAAGTTTGATTCCACATTCACGAAAGCCTTACAATAATTAGGTGTAAAATCTGGAAGCGAGCATATAAACCAAATAATTTCTCTAACAGTTATCCCAGGTCTTTTACATGTAGCTTTTAAATCTTCAACACAGAACAAAAGTATTTCAATCAAAAGCAACCTTCTTTCTTGAATAAAAATCTTAAAGCAATGATTTGGAATGAGATTTTAAAGGATGAAGTAAAATCTTTGCCAAAATATGTTAATTAAAAAATTCCATCTGATCCAATGATAAGAAGAATACCTTTATTTGTAAGTACATATCTTCCATTAAGATGTATTTAAAATGTGTCATCATTCACCATAATTGTGACTACAAAGGCCTAATCTGCACTTTATACTCAATGCCAGGTCTAGAGTAGAGCTATGCAATGTATTAGATAGTCACAGTCCTGAGACACAAGTGACTGAACTAACCAGTTTAAATTGAAATAATATATGTTAGGATAAAGAACAAACTTGTAAAGAGCATTTCCTTGCTTTTATTTACACAGCAGAGCTACACAATATGCCCATAGCCATGTGGAAGGCACAGATCTGTACGAGTTATATTTATTTTTGAACTGCATAAACATTTGTCTTGACCATAGATGATAATTTAATCAGGAGAAAAAAAATCAGTGTAAAATCTCTCTTCTCCCACCTTCTAAGATTCCAGTATTTTTTTTAAAAGATTTAAAAAGGGAAAGTGAATAATTTGATCTTGAATATTTTCATGAGTTCCTGTAAACTGTTTGTGTCAAAAGTGGGTTACTATTTAAAAGGCAAAGAATATTTCTAGGACCCAGAAGTTAGAAGAAAGCAAGGATGTTCCAATATGTGAACATTTCCAGTTAAGTATTTATGTCACCTGTTTAACATGAAGATGCTTTCAGTTTTCCTAGGGACATGAAACAGCGGGTCCAGAGGGGTGGAAGTACCTGTAATAGCTATAGGTGGATAAACTTTCTTCATTTATCTGGGCTGGAATTGAATATTTAGTTATCCATATTTATAAATAAAGCATTAGGTCTGTAGGCAGTGGTGTTTTGGGTAGCTAACATACTGCAGCACCTTTCCATAGCAATTAAATATTCTTCCTCACTGCTAAGGAAAATCACATGCTTGTCTTCCTGAAAGTTACAGAAATGCAATTCGTGTTATAGATAAAAAAAAGTTACTAATAAGACAAGAAAGGAGGAGGACTTTAAAGTTTCTTAGTTATACAATTCAAATCTACTGTCTACTTCCTCTAGGTACTGCTAGATTATAAATTCTCTGGGTTAGGGGCCATCCATCCATCCATCTTTCTTTCTTGTTTGTGTTTGTACATCACCTAGTACAACAGGACTCTAGTCCATTAGTCCTAGGCACTATGGTAACTCAAATAATAAATAATAAGAAAAACCATTTACCTTCTTTACTACGAATAGGATCTTGTGTAATTTTCTGATAGCATTCATACTGTGCTGTCATAATTTTATTCCTAGTCACACTCAACTGAATGGAGTCTTCTGTCACATTCTGATTCTGCTCATTTGGTATAGCAATGGCAAAAAACTAGGAAGAAAAGGAGATTTTAAAAATATATATACATTGGAAAGTTATCGTTGTTTTCACAGCACTTTTTTCTGTAACTGCTACAGTGGATCTTTTTTCAGAGTGGTAGCCGTGTTAGTCTGTATCAGCAAAAACAACGAGGAGTACCTGTGGCACCTTAGAGACTAACACATTGATTTGGGCATAAGCTTTCGTGGGCTAAAGCCCACTTCATCAGATTCATGGAGTGGAAAATACAGTAGGCAGGTAGAAATACACAGTACATGAAAAGATGGGAGTTGCCTTACCAAGTGGGGGGTCAGTGCTAACGAGACAATTCAATTAAAGTGGAAGTGGGCTATTCTCAACAGTAGAATACCAAGGGAGGAAAAATCACTTTTGTAGTGGTAATGAGGCCAATGTAATCAGGGTGGCCCAACTACAAAAACTAATTTCCCCCTATTGTTACTCACACCTTCTTATCAACTGTTTGAAATGGGCCACCCTGGTTACATTGGCCTCATTACCACTACAAAAGTGATTTTTCCTCCTTTGGTATTCTACTGTTGAGAATAGCCCACTTCCACTTTAATTGAATTGTCTCGTTAGCATCGACCCTCCACTGGGTAAGGCAACTCCCATCTTTTTATGTACTGTGTATATATACCTGTCTACTGTATTTTCCACTCCATGCATCTGATGAAGTGGGTTTTAGCCCACAAAAGCTTATGCCAAAATAAATTTGTTAGTCTCTAAGATGCCTCAAGTTCTCCTCATTGTTTTTAGTGGATCTTTTGTATTTCAGGTTAGCATGCTGATATATAAGGAGCTTGCAATTATTATTATTCTTAAAACAATTTCACCAAAAGTAGAGCTCGTTACAGACAAGCTGGTTCTCTTCCTGTTCATTTGGTGAGTCTTCTTACTATTAAATCAAAATAAAGTGCCCCTGCTTGAGGGCAGAAGTGATGGTCTGACATGATAAGACTGCAATTGATAATGGAAGAGAATAAAATGTATTGACAAAATCAGAAGAAGATAAAGGGCCTTTTACAAAGCCCATTGAAGTGAGTTGAAGTGTGAACATTGATTCTGAAGGAATTTGGATCAAGCCCCAAAGGATTTTCTATGAAACAAGACTTACTAATTGAAGTTATTGGGGCTTTTGGTTTGTTTTAGGGCTGTTTGGTTTCCTCTATAGTTTATAAAGCATAAAACAAACCACACCAAAACAGTAAGGTCAAAGGAATTGGGTGATTAATGTGTTACTGTAGTCATATGGAGGACACATTATTCTGAGCTTATATGGGCACTTATACTAAGTTATGAAAATAAGGAGAGTCAGACTGAAGACTGACAATGAAAAGTTTTTCACTGACTGTATTGCGTACCTATTGGCCTTAGAAATCTATCAGTCTATCATGAGTCCCATCTGCTTTAGTTGAAGTCAATGGAAGCTTTCCCATTGACATAAATGGGTATAAGGTCAGAACCCATCACTGCTGCAAAACCCATTGCTAGAAGAGGACACAATTGTGATCAGTGGCAGGAAAGGATTTCAAACTTCTGTATGTCTCCTAGTTACTACACAGGCATTAAAAGCAGGATATACCATTAAAGAGTATTGTCCTCTACCAGAGCTTTGCATTAGAGCAAGACAAGAATTTCTATTCTGTATTTCCATATTTGCCAGAGAAGTCAAGATCTGTGTCGCAGCTCTGAAAACTGAAAGTGGAAATACATGTTAAGAAAAATGTTAAAACTCACCATGGTAACTGACAAGAGGAGCAGCGATTGAATGATCCAATTTGTCTCCATCATTAAATCTGATTCAATGTGTTTTATGCTACAGTTCAACAACAAGATCAAGCTGCAATGGAAAAGTTGTAAGAAAAATAGAAGTAATTCATATAATTCAAAATCTACTGAAAACTGACAAAAATGGCTGCCATTTTTCTTTATAGTTCACTACAATCAATATATCTAGAGCCCAGTGGTGACCCCATTTCCATGGCTACAACTCTTATCACTCAGGTGGTGCAAAGGGGGTAATCCACAGCAGATCACCAGTAAACAATTCCCATGACATGGGGGGACTACATGTTAGTGTATCTGTGTTGCTATTTGGACCCACACCTCTGCCTCCACCTCCTCCCAGCATAGGGGCTGTGTTGGGGTGGGGAAGAGGGCATGGCAGAGCTCTGCTACACCAATCCTCCACTGGGGAGATCTATTAAGGACCCTACATCAATGTTGGAATTTAGATATGCCTGATAACAGCTTCAAGTGGTATCAGAACCAGAGCTGGCTCTCAAATTCAGGGAGCTGGAGCTGGTGCTAGTTCCCCGAAGACTCTCTGTGGTTCAGCGGAGTTCTGGTGCAGGAGAGAATCTGCCCCATTACACTATAGGTCATTAAACATGCAGTAAATTCTGGCTACACGCCAGGATTGAAGCCCATGTGTTAAGTAAAACTGCAGTTTAGTTTATATGAGCGTTTAACTGGCATGTTTAAAAAGGAAATTCCACTTCTTCCTTCCTTTCACTCCTGTGACACTGATGGAAAAACTGATCCATAGGCAGCAACTTTAGGCTAATGCTACAGCTTCCCAGGGATGATGGGAGTCAATGCAGGGATTAACAGTGACCTGTAAAATAGTTTCCATATCTGCTGATAGTTGAACATTCCCAAATATGGAAATATCAGATCTTTGTGGAACTCCTGTAACATCTCTCCCATAAACATAATAATGTATTTCCATTACTCAGCAAGAGAATAAATGAATAAATAATTAATTAAATAAAAATCTGTGTTCTGTTCCCTGTCTGTAGATGTAAACAGTGTGGGAACAGGATACCACTTTACATATAACAAATGCATTGCAAATGTATTTCTGAACACTTTAAAAAGTAATTTCAGCTATTCCAAGGGCACCTTTTCACATTACAATGCAGATTGTTATATGAATGAATCTTTGTACATTGAGGTACAAATCCATTAACACCCCCTAAAAGGCACAAAAATCTCTTTCAAACCACATACATAGACATAATTGATACTCCTGTGGGAAACCCTGTGGAAGGGGGTTGACAGGAAGAAATCTCTGAGAGGTTCCCTTGCAATGATTTGTTCCTTATTGTTCCATTGTGGGGTTGGATTTGCTCCCCACAAAACAGGCCACAGGGCTCAAACCCCTTCCCCTCACACTCTGTAGATATGGGGGATAAGTGGAAAGGCAGGACCAACCACACAAAGGCCTATTCCTCCCAATAGGCTCCCCAGCCCACACCTTTCCTGCTGCTCTATTAGGTGCTCTAATAACCTCCCTTAAGGTGGGAGCCCTACCAAGAAGATGATCCAGCAGAAAGATAATTCAGTCTGGGCCATATTACAGTATTTTAGGGAATAACATGACCCTCTCCCCCGACTCCAGATGTCTGTGTAGATCCCTGGACTTATGGAGCATCCTCAACAGAGTTCAGTTGAAGTGGGTGCTGCCATAGAGGTGTCTAAGACCTTCCACCTCTTCTACATGGAAGGCGTGATCCATGCACTGAGGGCACCTTCCAAATGTTGATCTGGGGGATATGATCAGACCTCACTTTTCTAAATTAACATATTTTACTATATTAGCATTAATTACCATTAATAGTAGTAGTAATCCACAGTACTGTAGGACTGAGCTTCAGGTTGTGGATGATACTACCAGAGCTACTCTAGCATTACTTAAGCCACAAAAGTCATATTCCGGATATTGCCGGTTTAACTGATGTTGAAGGGAGAGCACTGTTTGAGCCAATTACTTACATGCAAAGGTGTGTCCAGATTCCAACCACATTTTCCTTTGGGTCATACTCACTCTTGTCTCGGATATTTTCTTATCCAGTAGTTATGTCCTACAAGATATTGATTGGTGACAATAAGCAAACAATTGAGCATACCTTGACCAACAGGGGTCATTTCACACAAAATCCATCACACACAAAACATAATCTTATATACATAATGATGATGGTAAGCAAGAAGCCTGCCTGTCTTTTATATTTTGTACAATGCCTAGAACAATGGGGGCCTTGACCACTTGGTACTATTGTAATACAAATAATTACTAAACAGTCTTACTTTGTGGGATGTAGAGTTTGTTTAATTTTCAGGTTTTAATGAAGCCTGAAGGGGCCAATTTGGGCTTGGTATAAGGTTAAAGACACAGTTGTGCCTGTTTATACCAGGCATGAATTTGGCCCAATATCATTCTCTCTCTCTCTTCTACTATTGGTAGGTAACCCTCCTGAGGTGTCTTCCAACCCTAATCTTCTATGATTCTATTTAGAAATGTGGTCACCCTTGTTAGTGTACTCAGAGTAGGAGGGGTCCCTAGCCAGAAGCTTTATCAGATTCTTTGACTATTAACCTGATCCTGAATAAGTAATGTAAGATGTAGTGTGTTATCATTTTGTTGTAACTTTGCCTTAATAAAAAGTTAAAACATATTCTTGAAAGTGGGTCCTTGCAGAAACCATTATCTGATATACAGACTAGGAAGAAGTATTGTTAGTTAGTTTCTAACCAGTCTGTTTGTAAAAGGAACAGCTAAACAGTACATGTGTATTGAGCAAAGCATGATATGATCCCAGTGGTAATGGAGACTTTTGATTGTTAGACTTCAAGAGCCCATTGCCTCTCAGGTTACCCACATACAATCTCTGGAACATGTGACTAGGGCACAGAGCTGAGAGAAAGCAGACAGCTTTGGGCTGTGAGGGAGGAAAGACTTTCCTGCACTACGACGTTCCAGCATAGACTCTACTTTGTATTTGAGGGTAGTGCTAATCTAGAGAAAGCTCTATATTTGTATAGGCCTGTTTATTTTCAGTCTCTCACATTATGATTTTTTTTTCTTTATTTATGCATAGTTACCAGTCAAATATTACTCTGATGGGAATTTGAACCAGAAATCAATATTTGAAAAATATATTGACTATTGCCATGAATTGCAATATTCTCCCGGGCCAGTTTGTTTACCTGCTGCGTGAGCAGGTTCGGACGATCGCGGCTCCCACTGGCCGCGGTTCGCCGTCCCAGGCCAATGAGGGCGGTGGGAAGCCGCGGCCAGCACATCTTTTGGCCCGCGCCACTTCCCGCAGCCCCTATTGGCCTGGGATGGTGAACTGCGGCCAGTGGGAGCCGCGATCCACTGAACCAGCCGACGTGGCAGGTAAACAAACTGGCCCGGCCCGCCAGGGTGCTTACCCTGGCGAACCGCGTGCCAGAGGTTGCCGACCCCTGCATTAAATGTTCTTCACAATGAATTATTTCACGGGTTGTAGTTAAAAGAACCTAAACTGGAGCTGGACAAATAAGCTGTTGTTTTGGACTGTCACATTCAGATAAACTGAAAGGTCTCTGGACTCATAGAGAAGACAGAGAAAGTAGTAGTTAACTACCAGGACACAAGGTCATAACACTGAAGGCTGTTGTCTTTTCCTCTCCAAACAATGACATATTAGTGCTAGGAAGCCCCATTTTGTCCTCAAGAACAGTGATCCAAATGGGGTGCCAGGCACTGTTATATATTTTAGGGCATGCAAGTATAATTTAGGATTTTGTTTGCCTATTTACTGATGATATGCATGAGTCTGAAATTTCCATAGTTTTCTCTATAACAGTCTCTAAATAGTTTTCCAAAATATATTCTCGCTGATTGATAGATTTAGCATGTAGGGTCAAATAATGCTATTAGATCACCTGTGTACCTCCATTCACTCCAGAGAGGTTGTACAGTGTACATGAAGACAGAATTTGGTTCTTTTGATTAAGGGTGCAAGACTATTTACATTTAACATTAAACAATATTGGCCACCTACTAGCCCAGTTACTTAAATGAGGCACATCTTTTGTAGGTAATGGCTTTATAAGAATCTCATATCAACTCTTCCAGGGGCATGCTCAAACTCGGAGTTCCTAATTCCTCTTAGTAGACAAGAGATGAGCTCATTTCTGCAATGCTGTCAGTGCTTCCTACTCAGTGTCCCCAAAGTTGTTGTTGTACATTCAATTTATACCTAAGAAAAGAAAGTCTCTTCCTAGAGATGACTGTTTTTTTGATATAATTGCAAAATTGTGTGGGTGCAGTTCATATAGTATACATTTGGATTTCAGTAAAGAATTTTCTACATCATCTCATGAATTCATTAGCTCAAAATTTATTCTATTTGGTTTGGATAAGAACATTGCCATGTAGATTAAAAAGTGGCTGAAGGATAAACAGCAGTACATAGAGTTAGGTTTGAGGTGGTTGTTGAGATACAGCTGATATAAATGTTAAATCCTATTTGAATGACCCTGTCCTGTTTTAGTAAACTGAAAAACATAAATGGAATTCACAGATGATTCTAAGTTGAAAGTTGTTGAGAGCAGAAGTAAGGAAACAAAATACAAGGGTATCTGTGGAGAGAAGATTTAACTTGGGAAAGATTCAGGATAATATATTTGGGGGAATATAGTCAGATACAAAAATATATTTAATGGCAGAGAAAACAGAAAGCATTAATGCTGAAAGAAACCTAAGAATAACAGTGTAAAAAAATATTCCCACAGTGGAAGTCTTACTCTACAGTGAAATTGCAAGCAGTTAAGGATGTTCATATAGGCAGCTATTTTGCAATGCAAATTTGGCTGTTTTTTGTGGGGGGGAGAATGTGTTTTTTTGTTTTTTTAAATAGTGTCCTCTATCACTGTCATATCTAGGAAAACAACATTCCAGTGTTTTCTTACAAACTCTTACAAACTTTAAGAGATTTGAATGAGAATAGTTTTAAAAGAAATTTAAAACAGTTTATTCCTAGATTCCCAGGCCGGAAGGGACCATTGAGATAATCTAATCCAAAATAGGGCATAGATCTGCCCCAAAATAATTCCTGGAGCATATCTTTTACAAAAAACATTCAATCTTGACTTACAAATTGTCAGTGATGGAGAGTCCACCACAACCCTTGGTAAGTTGTTCCAGTGGTTAATTACACTCACTGTTAAAACATGTATGCCTTATTTCCAGTCTGAATTTATCTAGCTTCAATTTTCAGCCATTGGATCATGTTATAACTTTCTCTGCTAGACTGAAGAGTCCATTATTAAATATTTGGTCCTCAAGCAGATACTTACAGACTGTGCTCAAGTCACCCCTTAAACTTCTCTTTGTTAAGTTAAATAAAAGGCTCCCCAGCTGGACTTCATGCATGAAGTATGGCAGCCAGGCTACTGCCCGGATGCCCCACTTCCCTTCAGGAAAGGGAAGACTGTAATGCATCATGTGAGACAAAGTCCAACCAGGGAGTCTGCAGATAGAGGAGAATGGTGGCATGAGATACCCAAAACTACTTCTCCCATCTGTCTACTGACTGTAATTGGCAACTCCGTAATGAGAGAGGACGAGTATTCTTACAGTGGTTCACATTAACATGAGCTTTATAAAAGTCCATCAAAAATGCAACTTGATAGAAACATGGTGGAAGCCCATGCACTGAGTCCCCCTCTCTTCCCTCACATCTCCATATGCTGGTGACAGGTTCAACAAGACAGACAATAGGTCATCGGTTTACACATTAGATATTGAGGGTAAGTGTGATTTAATGTATTAATTGATACAAAGTCTTAAGTATTCTCTAAAATAAAGGCACTAGGATTAGCATGGGGAATTTGTTAGTCTCTAAGGTGCCACAAGTACTCCTATTCTTTTTGCGGATACAGACTAACACGGCTACTACTCTGAAAACAGTAAATCAGTTCTTCAAATATCACACCTGTATTTTACTTTTATTGCCTCCTGTACAGAACATGGAATAACTTAGCCATATGAACTGCATGTTTCTTCTCTTTACTACATTCCTCTTAGCCAAATTATTTCTATTTTTTATATTATTTCCATTGCCTTTGTAGTATTTGTCATTGTCAGCAGTGACATGTACTGCAGAAGGCAGAGCTCCACCATTGTAGAATGAACTGAGCCAAAAGAGTCACTCATAAAGCTTTAACCTTCCCCTCCTGCTTTCTCCACAAAACCATCCTGCCCTCACAAAACAGCTGTTTCTGCTTTTACTCTTTTCCCTTCCTCACAAGAGTAAATGCCCTCCTGATTGAACTCCAGAAAGGTACCATTTTAACACCAGAGCAAAGGGAGAATACAGCCAGAAATATCAGGGCTTGAACTTGTATCCTCTGGGCATAGCTAGCACAGAAGAGGAAACAGGCCAGGCACCTTTCGGCCATTGCGCGCGCACACTCTTTCTCTCTCTCTCTCTCTCTCTGGGAGAGATTTTACAGAATGAATGATTTAAGCTCCATTTAGTGTTGGAGCCATCAGGAAAATCTGCAACACTGGATTTACTGCTGTATATGCAAACCTCTTTGGTTGAAAAATTGAAGTGGATGTTTTATGACAACACTCTGTCACACAGAGAGAGTACTTCCTGATTTTGATTGGTTGGAATTACCCTGAGAATAACTGTTCTCACAATATTTTGTTATCTCTGTTTAGAATCAGGGAGTGAGGAGGCATAGGACTCAAAACATTTCAAACCTCAGGCAAGCTTTTGGTTTGGTTCAGCCCAAGATACGGGCAAAGGACCAAGCTGGAAACGATCCAGACTTTTTCATGCATCTCTAATTCAAATGGCCTGCAAGGATCTTTTGACAGTTTGAGGAAGTCTCAAATCAAAATCATGTTCCAAATGGAACAGCACATAGGGCCCAATCCTGGCAGGTGCTAATCACCCTCATTTACTGTTGATTTCTGGAGCACTCTGCACCTCAGAAGAGGAGGCCCATAATAACTCCTAATTAAAAAGCTTGATTAACAGTGATACTAAACAAATTTCAGATTCATTGACAAAGCTGAAGG